GTGTGAAACAGATTCCAATTAATTCTCAGTGGCTTATTTACTCTCTCTGAAGCACAGTATTTACTTTCTACACAATCACCAAGCAGAGCCGTTCAGTGCCCCAGGCAGCAAACAATAATAATTCTCTTTCAACCACATCTGAAGGAGCAAGTACCCTTTAGTCTTATACACAGCTTCCACGAACAACTCTTTCCTGAAATCAGTTGTAGTTAGAAATGTCCAAGTGAATCTATGCTATACTCTCCCTGAAAACAAAGAAAGAAAAATAAACATTGCCTGTATTATTTTAACAGTTACTGAAAATGTGGCTCACAAATCCTTTAAATTCACCAAAAGAGATTAAATAATGAACACATGCCTGGAGACTTCCACACTGTGTTCTCAGATCTAATCCCTCCCCCCCCTTGCAAAAAGCCACGCTTTGTTAATACCATTGCTTTTACAGACGGTCAAACTGGATGCCGGAGAGGTCAGGTGCTTGTCCCGTGCCAGGTGCTAGCCAGCAGACTTTCGATTCAAATCTAGATTAAAGCCCTTCGCTAAGGTGAGCACCCAGGAAGGCATCTTTTCCTGCAATCAGCAGCATGGTCAAGATGGAAGGAAGATGTATGCAGGAGAACCCATCACATCCTCAGGACAACAGTTAGGGGTTATGTGTTACTAAATCAAGTGCACCAATGGATGAGATTTTCATGTTAGATCTTTGTTGTAAGCCTGATTTATTTGCTTGGGTTTTCCCCCCAATGACTGGAGTTGTCAGGGGCGAGCTAATCAACTGCTTGACTAACAGCTGTCAGAACAACCCCCTTTTCTGTGCTCAGCTACAGTGGTTGCTAAGGAGCCCAGCCAGGGGATATGATTCCAGGACCATAAAGGACTGAGTCTGAATAGGATCTATTCTGCTGACTCCATGTTTCTCATATCTAGTGGGACTGGGAAAGACATCGGTACCATCCCGTCAGGGATATGAGTAATCCTGACTTTAGCTTGCTTTAGTCACGGCAATCATGAGAGCCGCTGGCTATCGCTCGTGTGAGTCCTCCAGCTGTTGCACTGGCAGCTCTGTTCTGACCATCTCATGGCTGCTCAGGGAGGCACCTGCCCAGTCACAGGTGTCTGGAAGAGGTTTCCTTCCAACAATATAAACCAACAGTAGCTTTTGTGACTACTACCCCAACCATGGCTTTTGCTTTGGGAAAAAAAAGTCATTTATTAAGAGCTATTCTAGACACTCTAAATCAACTCTTGAAAATGTTTTGTCAGCCACTGACAGCATCAGATGATCAGTCACAGCCACTCCAGAAATCACCCCAAACCCTGTGTGTGGTTGCAGGCAGGGGGCTGTGCACATGAGTGAGCAGCTATGGAACCTGCCTGCCTCTCATTGGTCTAGCCAGATCTTCCTCCTGCACTACCTACTGAGCTGCAACGCTAGGCAGTCACAGAGCCTCTTCTGGATGGTCCTATTGCCTACCTTGTGGTCTTTATCATGGATGGAGTGGGTTGAGCTGGTAGCACAAAAAGCAGGCAACTGTCTGGGCCACCATCCTAAGGCTCCCCCGAGTAGTAACTAGAGGGCGTCTGATGATTTCCAGAGAACGGCCCTGAACAGAGCCAGGAGAAGACTATGAAGGACTGCAGAAGTGTTTCTGTGGAGAACTGAGACTCTGGAGACTGCAGACAACAACGGTTGCAAAGAGATAAGACAATGTAAGGGAAAGCCAAGAGCTGGAAGAAAAACAAGCTCCACCCACCGCAGCCCAAAGCCGGGGAGAGTTAGTGTCTCTGCATGCGGGGGAGTGGCCGAGCTGAAAGTGAAGAGCAGAGGCTCCCAACTCCCCCCCCTCCCCCCCAGCGGCTGGCACTGAGAGCTTCAGTGTAACAGTCACACTTTCCATCCAAACATGGCGATAGAAGCCTTGGCTGGCTGGCAGCAGTAATGGTAATAGTTTATCATTACCAAGCCGGGTTCATCTAGGAAATGCTGAGTTTGTGATAAAGAGTTTTGGGGGGGGAGGAGGGACACCACACAATAAAATGAATAAGAACAGAATCTTCAGGTTTAATCTTCATACAGTTTTGAAAAATCCATAGATTTAGTTAACAGCAACAACCATTTCAGCACAGGGTAGTCGGTAAATCACCCCGCGTGAGGCTGGATCCAGGTGATATATTTCCTGGCAGACAGGGCTTCTGGACCACACGGCTTTGCTGACACAGCTGCTTCTGCATGATGGTCTGCAAAGGGTTTTCTTGATTTATTGTTCGAAGTTAAAATTAGCAAAGAGTTTTTCCAGCAGCACAAAAGGCATATGCATCTTTCTGTCACTATCTCCAAATACTGCCTGCATTTGGCTCTCACGTTCCTTGCTTGACTAGAAACTAGGTTTGGATGCAGAGAAGAAAAGGGGAAAAAAACCCAAACGAACATGGTAATTATTATAAAACTATATGAGCTATTTCAAAGTCTTTGAAACATTGTTTGGCTTCTATTATCACTTCTGGAATTAGCGCACAAAGAGGAGGAAGAACTGTTACCTTCAAGTGTTCTACTAACTCCCTTCCTGCCTCGGCCACGTCCTATTTTTCAATGTCTGCACACACGCAGAGAAATGAAAACAGACTGTGCTCTCTGTGGGCCACAAATGAGGTTCCTTTTTATCTGGCATTGCGTAGCCCCTAGAAGTGTGTTTCTAATGAAAGCAATCACTCACTGGTAGTTTTGTGTTTGTTGTTTCTGTTTGGGACTACTCACCCAAAGAGTCTAAGACCCCTTCCATTCTTCAACGATAAATTAAACAGAAAAAAACCAACCAAAACATCAAATACATGCCTGACAGCTCTAAGTCAGAGGCAGATTACTTTCATTGTTATTAATTTTTTTAAGAAAAATCAATCACCATAGGAACAAAGCAATGCTTTAAATCATCTCTCCTCTGTAAGTATCCTTATAAATGCTTCTGATACCTCAGGGGGAAAATGTTTCACACGATGACCCTCAGCATGAAGGTTGGCCCGCTGCAGTTCCCAGGAGCAATTCAGGTCTAGGCCTCCTTAGCCCAAAACATACTCTTTATAGCAAATGTGCTGGAACAAATTATGGACACACATCACTTTTCAAAGCCTCATTCTATCTTCTTGTCTAGCAAATCTTCTGCTAAGATGTTATTGGAAAAATTCAAAAGAGCATAGATTTTAACTAATCTCTTTTGCTTATTCAGTCATCTCAGAAGAGCGAGGGTGAGCAGGGCCAGGCAGTGACACTGACAGAGAAGGGCAACAAGACTCTTTACTGAACACAAAGAATCTTCTCTCTATGGATAATCTAGACTTGGTATATTAAGGAATTGGGTTTGTATTTTTCAGCAATAAAGAAAGGTAGGTTTTCAAATGTAGGAGTGGCAAATAGAATAATCTAGAAAAGAACTCTGAAAAAAATGGCCTGGTTCTTAAAAATTTAGTAGCACATGAAGAAAAAAAAAATGTTCCTGTTCACAGATTTTACTCAAAATATTCCAGGTAGGAAGCACTAAGATTCCTGACTGTTGGGTGCTGGATAGTCTTGGTGGCAGAAACAAAGCATAAACCAGTAACTAGTCCCATGTTAGAGGAGCAATAAATTCTTTAAGGTTATTCTTGAAAAGGCTTCGACTGTCTGATTAAAGGGAGTGCACTGACTAGTTTTGGGTCATCTTGACACAGGTCATTTGGAAAGAGGAAACCACAACTGAGAAATGTCCTCATCAGACTGGCCTGTGGGGAAGCCTGTGCCACATCTTCTTAATTGATGACTGATGTTGAGGGCTCAGAGCCACAGTGGGTGGCACCATTGCTGGGCTGGTGCTCCTGGGTGCTATAAGCAAGCAGGCTGAGCAAGCCTTAGAGGACAAGCCAGGGAGCAGTACCCCTCTCTACCCTCCATCTACACCAGCCTTCAGGCCCCTGCCTTGTGTTCCTGCTCTGACTTCCCAGGATGATGAGGTAAGAGATGAAGCTGTAAGAGGAAATGAACCCTTGCCTCCCCAACCTGTTTTTGGTCATGGTGTTTTATCATAGCAACAAAACCCTAAAACAGGTGGGGTTTTTTGTTTTTGTTTTTTTTTACAAAGAAGAGGAGGAAGGGAAGGAAGAGAAGAAGAAAGGAGAGGAGAGGAGAGAATAACAAGGAAAGTCTTTGTATTAAAGATCAATAAGCCAATTAGGACTTAAAGTCTCCCACACCTTGTCTCACAAATGGGCCCTTATTCTGACATGTTTTAAATTACATGGCACCTAAGTCTGGGAACCGTAGGACTGGCAGAAGTCAAGGAGAACAAAGAGGGCATTGGCAGTCAGAGTCACTCGTACAGCATCTGCTTAGACACTTCAGTTAGCTGCGCTACACGATGGTAAAACGTGGGTTCAAAGAACATTGTTCAAAGAGTGAGTTTTTTATTCTACATATTCTACATCCTTTAGCATAGTCATATAAATTTCAATATACACGATGTGCATTCAATTTTATAAAGTAGATTTTACTCGAAGCTACATGTATTTTCTGCTCTTTAAGAGTCAAAGTCCCAAAATAGCACGTGATTTGAGGGCCATTTTACAGTATCAGTGTTTTACAAAACATAAGCATGAACAGGAAAATTTTTGTATAATCAGGACTCAAGGAAACTCAAGTTTACCTTTCTGGAAATTTTAGAAAAACTCCTAAGCAGGAACAGTGTGCTGAAGTCCGCCAGAAGTTGGCTTCTTAGTCTCCTGTCTCTTCCTGACCAAGCCTTAGCAGTTCCTTAGCAACAAATAAAATCCTCAATTCAACATGAAACAGCTCTAGTGTTACCAAAACATCTTGTCTGCAGGTCAACTCTATGAGTAATACTGGGTGACCAGCACAATTGAAAACTCAAACCTTCAGCTTTCCGGCGTTCCACGTTCTTAGCCTCAGTTTTCATTTTCTTATGTTGATGGGGTCATTCGCGTTACTTAATTGTGAAATCAATGAGATGTCTTACCTTGTGATGCCCAAACTCATTCAAAATGCTTCCAAGTTTTCTGGTGTTGCTATGCGGCTTCTGAGCAGCCACCGCTGGATGTGGATCCCGCCAGTCGATGGACAAGCGGTGATGCCAGAGGCGCTGGCTCTCCAGAACATGGGCTGATTTGACACTAGGGTCAAAACGATGCACTTCACATCCTCTGTTGGCCATGCTCACCTCAAAGTGTGTGTCATCGCTCCCCAACCTAGAGACCAGAAGAAAAAATGTGATATATGTATACATGATATATATGGTATCTATCATACATATATAATGAAGCAAAGTTAGATGAACAAGTTGACAATTCTAATGTCACTCTTTCTAGTGACATGTTTTCTGTTTTAAAGCACATCGGATGTATGCATTAAATGAACTTTACATATGCATGCTACACACACACACACACACTGCAGATCAAAGCCTCTGCATAAGAGAAAACTTATCTGCTAAACACAAATCACAAAACCACTAGGCAAATACAAAGGCACACGTGAGAATGGTTTATTTAAGTTGTAAAATACATTAGCAATGAGCAATTAAGAATATCCACTAGCTTCAACAGGGATGCTGCCATCTGTGTGACCACAGAGGCTGGGTATAGAGTAAGAGACTGGAGGGGTATGGTCCAAGGATGGAGAGAAAGAATGTATGTTATAGACAGGAAATTAGAACAGGAGGATAGAGGAGAGATGGAGAGGGAAACAGGCAGTAAAGAAGGAAATACAGAAAGAAATAACTAATGCTGAGGGCCATCTGAGGTCATACGGAAGCCTACTATGGCAGAAGCTTCAAAAACCATATACACATGTGAAATTAATATAAATGGAGTCACCAAGTAAAGTAACTAAAGTCTCAATTACCATTAAGCGAAATCCCCAGCTTTAGTGACGAGTCATGTCTAATTGAGTTGTTGCCTAACGAGGTCCCATGAGAACCTCAAACAACTCAGGCCGTTGCTAAGACTAGTGGTTGCTCTCCACAAACTTATGGTAAGGCACTACTGCTGAAGACAACATTTACAAACCTCGCTTAAATATCTCACTTCACACGGAAAATATCAAGTCGGTCCCCAGTGAGAGCCTTTGCTTCTCCTAACTAGTGCTCAGGTACTAGAAGCTACTCTGCATGTCACCAGAGAGAAAGGTAAACACCAACCTAGTATAAGCCCTGTGACTAAAAATGGTGACCCGCCTACATGATATGCCAGTGTAACTGTGGCACAAAACCACTATCAGATTAAATTTAAAGCCCACACCCTGAGAAGGAACCCATTCCAACATTTGATTAGGTGGCATAGAACCTGAGACTAGACAGACCTTTAGGCCTGGGGAGAAACCAAATACTCCTGTTCTGCTAAAAGACCGTAGCAATAGTGAGTCCTAGTGATCGTCTGCTATTCCCAGAAATCTGTGTTCTGTTCAGGCATCTCCAGAGCATCATCCTCCTGCAGTAGATGGAAACTACTAAAGACCCACAACTAGACAATGCATGGAGAGTGGGAGGCATCCCCTCACGGCTCAGGGAGCTGTATATAAGATGGAACAATTGTAAGAGTGAGTAGGGATGGATGTCACCAAGGAAACAGTATCTTCCAGACTGACCCACTTATGAACTCACAGAGACTGTGGCATCACGCAGTGTCTGCACAGGTCTACGTCAGATGAGATCCCAGCCCTGAAGTGTGAACTGGAAATGAGCTCCCATCCCTAATCCAGACGCTATCTTCTCCAGCTGACAACTTGGTTTGTTCCCCAGCTAGTGCATAACTCATATTAACCCATTTATATTATTGTATGTCTGCCACAAGGCTAGTTTCATACGTCCTAGTTCATCCAGGTGGAGAGTGAGATCTTCCCGTACCTGACTGTCTCCCAGGGTTCTTCTTGCTCTCTGTCTTATGACCCACCTTCTGATCCTGTCTCACCTTACTGGCCATCAGATTTCATTGACAGGTATGCTTTCACACAGCACACAGTGGCTGTGTGTCTTGCTAACTAAAGACTTATGTTACCAGAGGACTAACAGAGAATAGACAGTAGGGGACATCGAGCAGCTTCCACAGTTCCTCTGTGAAACACTGCGGCAGTTACATTCGTCATTCAAAGGCCTCTAGTTAAGACTGTCATCCTCCGTCTGTAAGAGAGAGGTGAAGTTATCTGATTAACTAATAAATATCATCACACCAGTGCTGGGATCTTAGGGCACACTGAATTTTTCAGCAGAGCAAGACTATCAAATCTAAAAGGTTTTTCTGAAGAAGGGAAAGACTTACAGGGCTAAATTTCCAAAAGTAGATTAGACTGGAATATCAGGACAGCCATGTTGACCGTCCATCTCTAATGTCTCAGAGTAAAGCAACCAGGTTCCCTACATGAGCTGTGTGGGGTATACACTAAACAACTCTAAGATGTGCTTTTCATACAGAATCGCCTTCACAATAATTTCCTGGTAGATGGTACTAAGAATTCTTGAAAGTGCTTTTTTTGAAAGCTCTATGCCAAGTGCTCTCTGGACTAACTATGGGTGTGCTTTAAGCATGTGAACCGTATGTATTGGCAATCATGAGCTCTTATGTACCACAAAAAGGCAAAAGGAACAGATTGTGGCAGGTCTGTGGTTAGTCTTTTTTTTTTTTAAAGCAGGATTGCATGTACACGTAAGTGGGGCTTAGGTTTCCCGAGACTCAAAAGCTTAGACCATATAGACATGAAAAGATCTCAGGTTCGTTACTCAGAAGGGAAAGGCAATTTGAAGCCAAGGTGAGATACCCCATCCCAACCATCAGGAAGGGTATAACTGAACGGTCCAATATGGTGTTGACAGGATATGGGGAAATTGGAACAGTCATAGATCGGTAGTGGAGGTGTAAAATGGTATCTATTCAAGATTATTCAAAAGATGTAGGCTCAAAATTATACATCAGTGTTCATCTCAGCATTTATAATAACTAAAAAGGGAATCAAGGCAATGAATGGCCATCACCTGATGGGTGACTCAACACACTGCAGACTTTCCATACTATGGACTATGGCTCAGACATAAAGGGCATGGAGGGCTGATACATGCTGCTGTGGATAAGCTCTGAAAACATTGTGTTAGAGACAACACATTACATGATCCTGTTTTCATGAAATGTCTAGAGTAGGTAACTGTAGACGTAAAGAGGTTAATGTTTGCTCACGGCCAACGGGTGGGCAGGAGGGGGCAGAACAACTGGGGGATAAAGCCTGGAGGAGGGACGTTGGGAGCAATACACATCAGGTCCAGGACTTTGGAGGAAGAGAGATTAATGAAAAATGTTTTAAACTTAAGGGTAGTGACTTAGAGAAATCCCTGACTTGTGCATTTAAGTGTGTGAACTAGATGTGGGTCAGGCTGTTAAAAAAAACAATAAAAATAAATCTAGAATACAGATCGCAAAGTTCTCAGCCCTCATCACTGAGAGGGGAGGACTGGAAGCGGTAATGAAGACCTCCGCAGAGGGGAGACCCTCACTCAAGTCTCAGAAAGCCGCGACCACCTAGTAATCTGCTCGAGACACCGTGTACCGGAGCAATTGCGAGGTTTATTAGGGCGTGACAACTAGCTGCTGGTCAATTCGTATGCCCACGCAGGAGCTGAATTGACCCCGACAGCCAGTTTGAGAGGGGTTTTTAAAGGAAAAAACCACAAACCAAGGAATAGGGAAGGGGTGAGGGGTTGTTGAGGTGGCATAACATAAAAATAGCAGAACATTCCAAAGGAACCCAACCTACGTGAGTCAGGATCAGGTGAAAACTCTCTGTACGCTTATCTTTCTCAAGAATGTGGTCCTGCCCTGTTACTTCGGCCTTGCCCTGTCACTGCAGTTCCCAGCTTGGTTCCTCCTAGTTCACTTGCATTCTTTCCTTTCTCTTTGCGGGTCGGCCAGTTCCAGTAATGGTGACTGGTCTTTCCACATTCTTAACTTGCTTCATGCCTCGGTTTCTCCATGTCTTTATAAAGAAAGCCTAAAGAATGTTTTATATGTCTAAAAAGGATTCTATATACCCAGTATCTATAATTTTTCACTCTACAGTAAGAAATGTTTTCCACCAGAGTGGGAGCAAGTCAACAGGCTCAGGAAAGGCATTGTAGCCCGGTGGTGGAATCTGTAACCTAGATCTGCGTGCGTGCGTGCCTGCGTGCGTGCATGCATGTGTGTGTGTGTGTGTGTGTGTGTGTGTGTGTGTGTGTGTGTGTTTATGGGGTGATGTCTGAAAGCACAAAAAGGATCGTTAACATAATATTTTATAAGTATTGCTTTGTGTGGTAATAACATTACAAATTTCCAAAATTTCATTTAAAACATGGAGCCAGGCATGGAAGTATATGCCTTTAATCCCAGAAGGCTTTTCGTGAGTGTGTGTCTCCCTTGGTCTGCATAGGGTGTTCCAGAACAGTCAGGGCTACACAGTGAAACTCTATCTTAAAAAACAAGTAAAACTCATGTATTTTTAGAACAGCACCACTCTCAAAAGAATGAAATGGATTTTAGAGTGCACAGGCATGCACACAACAATCCCTGCCCTCTTCCTCTATACATACAGCGTACCATAGACACGATGTACATATGTGTGCCTATGGTGATACCAGACAACAGACAGGGTGTCAAGGAGCAAGTATCTAGCAATACTGTGAGCCACAATCCTCTCCTTCCCCATTCACATGCCCTGTGCTAACACTCTTCCTTCTGGCTCCACTCATGTTCCTGGAAAACAAACATATTTGGCCATGCGGCTCATTCATTCTTCTTGAAATGCTTCGCGCCACCAGAAATTGCAGGTTTTCTGTCTAAAACACTGGCTCATGTTGCCTCACCATGTGTGACTTAGGAAATCTTCTGTCTTACACCAAGAAATGACGTCTTGAAGCTGAGTGGTGTAATTTAACTCAGAGCGAGAGGAGATGAAGACAGCGGGCCTCTGCCTCGCTTCCTCTTTTTCATTTTGATGGACAGTTCTCCCCTAAAACACAGCCACTGGCGTGAAAGTCAGCTGCGTGTCTTCTCTCTCTGTTCCTCTCATCCCATCTCCCACCACGCCTGGACAGTCCCCTCACCAGTCTTGACCCTGGAAGACTTGCTGGGCAGAGCCTGTCTAAAGCTGTAAGGTGTAAACTATCCTGTGAGTCTACAACCTGGTCTGGGTTTGGCTTTTTGTTTTCTTTTCTTTTCTTTTTTCTTTTCCATTCCCCTTCTTTTTCTTCTCATCAATGTTTGCCTTGCTTTCCTGTTCCCTCCTGTATGTTCACTCTCCACTCTGAAAACTGAAAAGGGTCTGCATTTAACTTTTCCATAGAAGCACACACTGTGCCAGACAGATGCTTGCCTTTCTAAACCCACTGTAGAATCTGAAACTTTGACAGCCAGAAGAGAAACTTCAGCCTCAGAGAGACAGGGATGAGGGTGAAGGAGGAGAGATGGTGAGGTGCCTCGGACACAGGGCCATCAGCCTTTATCTTCCGTCTCCTGGATCCCCATGCCGGGATGCTGCCCTACAGTTGCATCTGTATCTGCGGTTTGCCTGGGAATCCCGGGGCCCAGCAGAGGTGTAGCATCCTCTGAACCCTTCTCTGGAGCTCAGAAACACACTTGGGGAGGTCACAGACTCCGAACCCCCACTTCTGGCACATGTGTCCCAACACTCCTTCACTGGTAACCAGGGCCAACGTTCCCTGTGGTGGTTCTTCACGTCAGAACCTCTGCTTGTGTATCTCCCTTCAGGAGCAACTGAGATGGCCGACAGCCAACTGCTTGTCCTGCGATAAGGGGTTCATCAGAGCAGGGGCCGTCTAGATCCCAGACACCAAGTCACAGCACAGTCACCACCCTTACACAGTCCAGGCATCATTTTGTCTTCTACCACAAGTAACTTCTTTCCATTCCAGTGTTCTGTCTTTCTTTTAGTTTTCTTTGTTTGTTTGTGGGTTTTTGTTTGGTTTGGCAGTTTGTTTATATATTTTGTTTTGGGGGCAAGGTCTCATTTTGGGACGGGACTGGCTGGCCTTGAGCTCACAAAGATACACCTGCCTCTGCCTGCCAAGTGATGGATTAAAGGTGTGAGCCACCAGGCACAGCTCAATTGCAGTTTGTAATAAAGGCTTTCGTGGTTTTCATCAAATATTGACCCTCATAATCTATTCATTTCTGCCTCCAGTGTGATTCAGGAGCTCTCGTTTGCTTTTTGAATAGCTGATTTTGAATGTAAATGAGAGACATTATTTTTTCCTCTGTGTAATAATCTGAAATCTTGCTGCAGAACTGTCTTATCCAACAGCTTGAAGGCATAAGTGGGGGAAAGAATTTCAAAACACCCCCTAAATAACTTCCCAGGTTTTATTTTATTCAGTTATATGCTTTAAATGAAATTATCGTGGAATGTGAAATGTTAAGCAGAACATAAAGGCAGTTTGGAACCAGGAAATAGGATAGAGATGACATTGCCAATTTGCATGCTATACTATGCAATTATTTTTTTGACCTACTTTCACACATTTTTAATGTGACATAAAATAAAGTCTGCTGTCAGGACTACCCATTCTTCCTATGGCCCTGAGGCAGAGCTGGTGACTTCCAGGAAAATCTCAGTTCTTTCCACTGGACTGTGCAGCTCCTGTCTGACTCACGCTCTGTCCGACACATAGCCAGCATTTCCTTCTCAAACAACCCTGGACCCAGCCAATACCATCAGACCGAGTCCCACCCAGAGACACCTGCAATACACTTCCATAGTTTCATTAACTTCACTCTTTTATTTGAATTCTTTCTCTGTTTTAAAAAAAATCCACAATGACCTTTTTATCTTTTTGACACGGGATCTCACGAATCCCAGGTTGGCCTTGAACTCTTCATACAGTGGAGAATGACTTTGAACTTCTGATCCTGTCTCTGCCTCCTGAGTGGTGGGATTCTGGGTATGAGCTACCACCATGCTTTTCTTTTGTAGAGCTGAGAATCCAGGTCAGGGCCACAAGCATGCTAGGCAGACACCCAGCTACACCTCCTGTCCACAAACTGCTGGTAACTGTTTGATAGCCATGAGTGGGTCCCCTCTTACCTAGCTCCTTTGGGGAAGTCTCCCCAACACCCAGATGACACATGACCAAAGAGTCTGGAAGATGCCTAAATGTAAACAGTGGAATGGAGTAGGGGAATCTATTGCTGAGACGTGGCATACTGGTACAGGTTGTCAAGGATTTCTTGAGGAGGGGACCCTGGCTCTGTGTCCAGTGAAGCTTGAGCCAGCCTGGAGCTGTGTAGTCTGTTGTTTGGAACCAAGATTTTCCTGGAAGCCACCAGATATGCTTCAAGACCCTAGGAAGAATGGGAAGTTACGACTGCAGACTTTATTTTATGTCACATTAAGAGTTTATGAGGAACAGGCATGTGACATCATGTAGGGTCTTCTTTAAAAATGCTTTTTAAAATGCTTCAGTGGTCTAACCTGAGAACCTCTTGGCTTCTATAAGTAGTCTACTGAGCAGAACACTCCAAACAAAAATGATTCCCTCCTGCTTTGTTTTGAGACGGGTATCTTTTTGTCCTGGTTGCTTTGTTTTACTATTTTGTGTGTAGGTTTTGTTTTGAAAACTCGATACAGGCTAGAGTTATCTGAGAAGGAACCACAATTGAGAAAATTAGATCGGGCTATAGGCAAGCCTGTAGGGCATTTTCTTTGGTGGTGGAGAGCCCAGTGCATTGTGGGTGATGCCATCCCTGGGCTGGTGGTCCTGGGTTCTTTAAGAAAGCAGGCTGAGCAAGTCACAACAGCTTGGTAAGCAGCGATCCTCCTTGGCCTCAGTTTCAGATCCTGCCTTAAGCTTCTTGCCTGACTTCCCTGGGTGAAATGTGTGAGGAGAGCTGTAAGCTTAAATAACCCCCCTCCCTCAAGTTGTCTTTGATCATGGTGTTCTATCACAATGATAGAAACCTAACACACATGTGTGACTTCAGGAATTTACAAAAGGCACTGGTGGACTTGCTGAAATTGTCTCATTGCTTCATTTCCGTTCTTACACAGAACCTCTCTGAATACGTGTGCATATTGAGGTCATTTTCAACCTGGATAACTCAGTCAATTATTTGGCAAAACATACATTGTTTTTTCCAAAAATTCCCTTTACTTCTCCTCCCTCTCCCCGCCCTGTAAATACAAAGCTATATATAGATTGATCACTGGTTACACACACACACACTCACCAAAAACCAAACACCAGATAACTAGTAGTGGCCTTATCTGTCTTGGGTCATTCATAACAGTGTATAATTCATTTCTGGAATCATCTTTTCCTCAATACAGCCATTGATACTTTTTCTATTTCTAACAAAGATGCTCTGATTCATGCTGCGAGCCTTTGGTTTCTCCAGAGGAATCACCCTCATGCTGAGGACTGAAGCTGACACCTTATTTCCAGCAGAATGGGAGAAAAGGTGGTGCTCCAGCCAAGGTGACCTCAGCTGGTGATCTGCGGGCACCTGCAGCTTCACAGGAGATCAGCCTGAAGCAGGGTGTGAGACAAATCACAGCAGCCACACACACTGCACCCGCCTCCCCCTGTTGTCACAGAAAAGGCCTTGGCCGCCTGCATGCTTGTTTGTGCTCTCCTCAGCTGTAAAAAAATGTCTTACCCTAAAGAGTAGAGGCGGCACCGCTTGCTGCGGATTTGATGAACTAAGCCAAACCTGTCATCAAGGCACACCAGCCAGGGCTTCGGTGCGGGGCTGGAGTCAGTAGCCAAGCTGTCTGTACCCACGTGATCGCATGCAATCTGGAAGGATTGGAAATCAATATGAATAATTTAAAATGCTAGATGATAAACGGCAGGTAGAGACTTAACTGCTTTTCCCGCTCCTGAAAACAGTAATAGGAGAGTTATGTCCTCCGCTGCTAACTACTGTCCTCCCCAGGGAACCACAAGACCGCTGTAAAACGTTGGGAGGAATTTCAATTACATGCCAGATAAGAAGCTAGCTCCTGAAGACTCAGTGCGGGTTTGAAGGGAAATTAAAGGCTGTAGTGGCCATCTGCCTGGATTGCAAATTGGGAACCAGGATGAAGAGGAAGAGGCGTCAGGGTATTGTGCAAAGAGGGATGCTAGGCTGGCTAGTCTTGGGGAGGAACAGATGAGAAGGGTCTCTGGACTAAGAACTGAGCGGTGTGCCTACCGCAAGAGTACGACACAACCCTGACCAAGACGTTCACAAGGTTACAAGTACCTTATCACAGACCGGTAAGGAGGGACCACTGGGGCCAGAAAAGTAATCTGTGTGCATAGCCGTGACCATCCCTGCTGAGAAAACAGATACTTTGTGGCAATCTCTAATGAGCTGCCTCCTGGGGGAGCCGGGTTGGAGTCCTGGAGCACAAAAGTGCTGCCCAGTTAACTCAAGCGTTTCTCCTAAAGCATGCATCAAAATTAAATAAGAAAACCAAAGGAAATGTGGACTTCGACTAAGAGACTTCTAATTCCAAGTGCGTGATAAGCTTGAGAAAGGGAGGTGGCGTGAGTTTGAGGCTGGTGCTGTGCGTGGCCAAGGCTGATGACATAGATGAAAACAGCTCTGAGTCTCAGACATCTGCCTTACTGGGTGAACAAAGTCCTCCTCCTCATTATCCCTCAAAACTCTCCTAGCTGAGTGGAGCCGTCACCCTGGAGACAAAAGATCATTCCAGATACAGAGTAGCTCTGTGGTTCACTGCTCTTGTTCATTGGAAAATAACACCAGGAGATAGTATTGTTATTATTATTATTATTACTATTATTAAAGATATTCTAGGGCTGACAAGGTGGCTCAGCATGTAAAGTGATTGCTGAGAAATCTTCAGTATGGTCCTGGGCCATTTATAACTGCAATGTCGTCATGTCGTCTGTAACTCAGGCACTCATGATTAGAGACAGGTGGATCCCTAGTAAGCTTAGTCTAGCTGAAGAGTGAGCCCCAGGTTCAACCCTGTCTCCAGAAATAAATAAAATATAAATTCAACAGATGGAAAGCAATGGAAGATAGCATTTGATATCAACCTCTGCCCTCCATGTGAACACATAGAAGCCAGTAAGCAGCAGCAATGCGCACACACACACACACACACACACACACACACACACACACAGTGGTTAAGAGTGCTGGCTGCTCTTCCAGAGGACTATGGTTCAATTCCCAGCACTCTAATCCTCAGTGTCAAATCTTCAAAGCAGGACACTGCCCTGGAGCAAGACCCTCAGGCTTAGGCAGCCCAGGACCCACGAAAGTGTCCTCTTCTAATGGAGGGCACACGGCGCAGAACAGAATATCAGCGCTCAGGTTTAAGACGCAGAAATTTTCCCGTTAGTGGGTCGTCTCTGACCAATAGTCAGACCCCAGTCCCAGAGGATCCAACGCCCTCTTCTGGTCACTGTGGGTATTGCATGCACTCGGTGCACAAACATTCCGGTAAAACACTCATATACATAAAATAAAAATAAATAAAAATCTCCAAATAAATAAACAAAAGCAAAAACAGCCAGGCATGATGGCACATGTTTGTTATTTCAGCACAGGAGAGGTGGAGGCAGAAGCACGAAGATGTCAAGGCTTCCTTAGCTACGTAAGGAATTTGAGGCCAGCCTAAGTCGCATGAGGTTGGAGGTCTCAAGAAAAAAGCAACAACAAAAGCAAGCGAAAGCGTTCAAGTTTCTTTCCTTTCGCCTCCGTGTCTTTCCACCTCTCTGTCTCCGGGCACTATTCAAAGGGGAAATTAGTCATCGGAAAATGGAATAGAGTCTAAGTAACAACTACAGAACTCATGTGTTCACAGGGTACAGCGTTCTGACTTGTACAATTCATCCTCCATTCGGTCTCTGCCTGCCTACCTGCCGCTCTTCCTCACCCACCCAAGGACAGAGATGTTGCCAATCTAATTGGTCAGAGCTGATCTACTAATGGGAAAATTGCTGCGTCTTAAACCTGAGGACCCGATACTCTGTTCTGTTCTGCGCCGTGCCTCCTCAGGAGGCTGCTTGGAGGAGGACTCTTCCGTGGGTCCTGGGTTGCCTAAGCCTGAGGCTTTTGCTCCAGGGCAGTGTCCTGCTCTGAAGATGAGACACTTATTGTGGGCACTTCTCTCTAAGATGTTCCATGGTGATACACAGGATATGTTCCTACTGCCTTTCTGGTGGCATCAAAACCCCGCTCTGGCCAATCCCATGTAAATGATGCTTAACATGGTTTCTCTGATACAAATCATCTTATTTGCAGAAGGAAAAGAAAAAAGAAAAAAAAAGTTACGCTCTGTGTTTCACTCCGGATTCACAAGGTATCATGATCCCTGGGGAACATGTAGTATAGTGAGCTCTCTCACGCACGCCCCTGCAGGGGCAGGGAGGTGTTCCCTAGGTAGGTGGCCCTTTGAGTTTACTGGAAGGTTTAGCCTTTTATAAAGCCCCAGAAAAAGACCCAGCATGGTCTTCTCACTTGAACCTTAGAATGTTAAGGCCAGAACTTTCAACTGAAGACAGCATCTTCTTTGCCCCTAACAAAGAACAGAGGAGTTGGCAACAACAACTAACCAGAGGCTTCTCAAAATAAGAAACTCTGGGCACAGGTTAGACGTACAGGTTCTGTGGCTCCTTCTGAGCTACAGCCACGGGCTAGGGCAGCGGCTCTCCCCTGCGGGTCACATCCCTTTCGGAGTCTCACAGGGATTACAGATCAGATATCCTGAGTATCAGACGTTTACAACACTAGTCATAACAGTAACAACATTACAATTATGAAGGAGCAATGAAATAATTTTATGGCTGGGGAATCTAAAGGGTTACAACATTAGGAAGGTTGACAGACAGCCACCGATCTGGAGCTCCCTCTATTACAACTGTACTTTGCCTAATTACATTTTTTTCTTATTCTTAGATTTTATCGTGCACAGATACTTTATCAGAGAGACACTCTTTTCCACCCCCCCTTCCTGTCTTATCTAAAAGATACAGCACAGGAATTATCCAATTTTAACCAGCCATTAACCATCTTATTGACTGACATTCGGTTTTGGAAAATAACTAAAAGTCCTCCATAAAATCTTGCTCTTAAAAAATAATTAAATATTGATTTTTTTTTCAAATTTTCTGGTTAAGATTTATAGCCACGGTTTCAGTAAACTCTCTCACAAGTAAAAAAAAGTGAGGACAGCAACTTCCAGCCAAGCTTCGGCTGAAGCAATGCCACCCTCTGCCTGCCTAACTCCTCTTGTAATTTTAGCCAAATAAAGAAAATTAGGTCTGGACAGAGGCAAATAGGACTCCAGGAAAAAAGGGTTTTGTGAAATGATTTTTATTTATTTAGCTTAAAGAAGTCTAACACATTTCCTTTTCATTTGCATCCCGAAAGGTTGGAGAGCAAGTCTACCAACTCATGAACAGAATGTGGTAGAGGAGTCCTTAAAATCTGGGGAGATTCGACAAGAATCCCTTAAAAATTCACTGTATATTTATATGGTTACATTATTTTGAAAAGCTCGAAGGCAGAAATGAATTTTTTTGCTCTCTTTCTTTCTTTCTCTCTCTTTCTCTCTTTCTCTCTCTCTCTCTCTCTCTCTCTGTGGGGTGTGTGTGTGTGTGTGTGTGTGTG